CTCAGGACACTGCCACATCCCAGGCAAAGCTCCACCTCTCTGGCCCCTGTTCCAAACCAACCCAACCCTAGGTAGGTGGGTGGAGAGAATAAGCAGAGAAATACAGGTGCGGGCGGGGTGGGGGGTCAGGCTCAAGAAACATCGCTGTGAACACTGTCTCATTCATGCCAGAAGAGCTGAACTACAGAATCATTCCTCTCAGTTTTCTAGGAGAGAAACTGAGGTACAGACAGGTTAAGTCGCTCTCCCAATGAAACGGATGAAATCAATGGAAGAGAAAAAAATAGCCCCCTAACTTCCCAGAAATTTAACCCCAAAGCATAGACTTCAAGCTGGATTGTCAGAATCATAGCCAAGAATTGTGGGTATCCACAGCACAAAGCTGCTTTTTTCAAACACCCCCCACCCCTTTCTTTCAAATATCATGGGTGAGGAGGAAGCTCCGGATCTGAAGGTTTATTTACCATTCCTCAGCCTGACCTTCCAGGAAGAATGTCACTAATGAGAAACAATCTACTTGGGCTCCCCAACCCAGAATTTTCATAGGGATCAATTTAGGATTTAAGAGTCTAAACAGGACAAGAGTAGTCCTGACTGTCTTGCCTTCAAAGAAAAAAAAAAGCAACTGTTCTTCCTGTCTGGAAGGAAGTTTCGTATATGTCAAACAAATATCAGATCTGAGGTTTCATCTTTCCCGTTGTTCCGACCCCTTTGGACATCCACCGGGAGAGAAAGGAGCACATTTGCCTTCGGGTGGTATAGTGTAGGCTGAGGGAAGCTGGAAAGGAAAGGAAAGCTATAGTTCAGACTGATGTCTCCCTAATCCAAGAAATGAACTTACAGTTGAGGCTAGAAACCAGAACTCTGCTCTGGAGACCAGATTCCATTCTAATTCATATACAAACGACTTTTTTTTTCCACTGTGAAGGAGATATTTCCATCCCAGCAAAGTGTACACTCCATGAAGGCAGGGGTCATATCTGACTTGCTCTCTACTGTATTCGACTACCAGCAACTGTCTGTCACATCGTAGGTCTTCCTACTAAATGAACGAATGAAACAATCAGCCAGTGTAAAACGGTTGCAGAGAAACAGCCAGTAAGTATCATTTCCATTTTAAAAGTAATTTTTCTCAGCAGGTGGAAAGTTTTTGGGTTTTTTTTTTTTTCATGATGGGACCTAGGATTATCTGGATCATTCTATCGGTCCATCTTACTGAGTCTCTGGACACAACATCAGTGACAAAACGCTTTTGTAATTCAACTGGTTATTAAACAGCACCAACTCACGTATCCTCTTAAAACTCTGCCCCACATCTGGGGGTCATTAAACCTCTCAGGTGTTAAGACGCTCTGTTTCATTTGGTCTCGGCTTAGCAGAAACCACCCTCCACCACAGCTGGGCGTGGCGAGTCTTGGTAAACTGTCACTTGATGATCAGAAAGGCCGTGGTTCAGCTCCACCTAGGACCAACTGTGTCCCCATCCACTCTGGCCTCAATTTCCCTCTCAGGAAGAAATTCTGACCTTCCTCTGGGAGAAGAAGGAGGTGCACCAAATGATCTCAGCTTTGTTATGTGACAGAGACTGTCAGTGTAGGGTGGGAGACCATTAATCTGAGCATAAGTTTTGGTTCTGCCACTAAGTGGCTATATTCACCTTGGACAAACAGCTTCCTTCTGGGGCCTCAATCTCTCTCTGTAAAAATGGGGGTAATCATTGTGCATCCTTCCTGGGATGGTTGTGAGGATTAAGTAAATTAACATATAGAGAATACATTAGATGGTGCCTGGCATACTGTAAGTACTATGTCTTAGCTATTATTTTTATTTGTAAAATTAGGGCCTCTGTGATTCTCTCAGCCCTCTTAAGAAAGAAAACTTAGTAACTTTTAGGTTTCATTTTTGGTTTTTTCTATGCACCTGCCCCATAAAACTGCCCAGACCTTATATGGATAAAGATAAGAGTTTGCACTAGCAAGAATGGCTCTTCTAAGTACCCTGTTTTGCATGGTCCTGGTAGAAAACCCTCTCAGAGGGGCAACCCAATCTACCTACCCAACTGAAATGTAATCTGTGGTTTCCTGCTGCCTCAGCTCAGTTGGCAACACCATCTCGGCATGGAAATTAATTCTGTTCAAAGAGTGGGAGAATGGCAGGAGGGCCTTCTGGGCTTGAGAAGGGGTGTGGGTCCCTAAGTCTCTCTGCTCAGCCCCAAATTCTGGGCCATTCAGTCTGGGGACAGGAGCCTTCCACCAATTCAGTGATGTAACCCAGAAATCTGGGCTGCAGTTTCTGGATCTCTTAATGATAATAATAATCTCTTAAGTAAACACAGTTCATCACATCCATCAAAACAAGTGCTTGTCCAATATCCCTCATCCATGTGTGTGGCCCATTTTTATGATGAGTAAATTGAGGCTCAGAAAGGTTATCACCTGAGGCAAAACACTTGGCATTCAAGCTAGGCTGCTTTGTTTAAATAGTTGATGATGTTTTTCCTGTGTCATACTTCCACCTTCCATAATAAGCTGCTTGATTACTTTGTGGAACAGAAGAGGGATCCTGAACTGACATAACATACGCCTAAAAAAGTCAACGATATCACAGCCCTAACCCAATAACTATTTTTTTAAATTGAAGTATAGTGGATTTACTAACACAATAATTATTGAAAAATCCTATCAATGGGCAAAAGTGAAACCACTGCAAGTTGGTTTCACAGAGCTGGGATCCACTGGATCCAAGAGAATGGATCCCCCTGGTGAGTCCACAGAGGAAGCTTGATTCCAAGCTAAGCCTCCCTCTTGGCTGGAAATAGCAGCCCCAGGTGCTGCCATCTCACTGTGCCAGTCTGCAGCCTGTGATTAGGGGCCCTAATGGCCATAATGCCTCCAATGTGGTGTTTAAACCAATAAGGCTTCAGAGAAGTTACGGTATGTTTAATAATGGCTTAATGACTACTTGTGAGATGCAAGGCTTCTGGTTCCTGTTTGGCCTTGATTTACAGCCCAGCTCTGGCTGAGGACAGCCAAGAAACCCCCCTCTAAGCCCCCAGCGGAAGAGGGAGGTGTTCACACCAGGCCTCTTGGATTCCTTTAAAAATTGAGAATTCAAATGAAATACAAATGATGACTTCCCACCCCTCTCGCTAGTCTCTGAAAGCACTGAAAATACAATCGGTGTAACCCAGACCTAGAGGTCCCTCAATCCACAGAAGTGAGCAGGGTCCTAGGGCCCTCGGGTATTTCTGCAGCTTCCCAGTAGGGTGGAGGGTGTTTCACTTGTCAGAAATTCTAAGCTACTGCCCTAGTCCCATGCTTCCTTTTGGCTAGGGAGACCCAACACTTAGGAGATATGGTTCCACCTTCATCTTCCTCCAAAATGGCAGGCCAGGGGCAATAAAGCCCTGAGGTCTGAGCTGCAGACAGACTCTCTCCAGTGGGTCTCCAGGAACTTCATGCTCATTTGCCACTAAAAGGCATTCACTCCATGCCTGCTGTTCAAACACAAAACCCTCTAGGTACTCTCCCACCTGCTTCAGTGGTAACCTCTGCTGGACTCTGTTCAGTCCTGAACTGCCCCTGCAAGACCCCTGTCTTCTCTGGCCCTGCCTCTGCTTCTGAAACCCACCAGGAATATATAGAAAGACTCTGAGGATTGACTGTGTCCAACCTCCGCAGTCACATGAGGACACTAAGTGGCTAGTTCAAGGTCCCACAGCTACTTAATGAGAGTGCCCACCTCCCCAGCCCCCAGATTAGAGCTGCTTCCACACAACACTCCCAATGACGCCTCTCCCGGTGAGAAACAGAGATTTCCAACGGGGGTGTTTTTGCTGGAGGCAACGTTCTTCCTACTCCCAGCAAAGAGTTAGGTAAAATCCCAGCCCGGCCCCTACCTGCTCCCTGGCCACCATCCCAGGCAATGTCTAGAGACCAGGCCTAAAAGTACTTGTTGCGAGTGGAGGGGGACTCTACCCCCGAACAGCCTCCCGCATCCAGAAGCAAGAGCCTCTAGCTATCAGGGCTAAGGGTGCAACTCTAAACAAGGGACTCACCAAGATGGATAGACAAAAGGGACCCTGCCCTCCAGAGGGGGTGGCTCCCTCCCCCTCTTCTCGAACTTCCTCTGATACGGGGACTGGAGTGAATCAGGGGGCTCCCGGGATCCGAGGGGTTAACCTGCGCGGGCCGCAC